ACCTACAAGTATTTATACTCGACGAACAACGATAGTTACAGTAACCACGTGAGGAAAACGAGTCCCTTGGGTAAGACATGTTGTTTGCCTTGGTGACAATCACTGCACGCCCCCTAATAATGTACTTGCAAGAAAATAAATGAATTGGGGAACTTCCAAAGAAATGACGTATATAAAATGGACAGGCATTAGGCAACACCTGTCTGGAAAAATCGCGATCGAAGCACAATCGGAACAGTGTTACGAAGCATCCTAATGGAACAGTGTTACGAAGCACCCTAATGGAACAGTGGGGATTTTCGCATCATTTTTTGGATGGGCTTTTAAATTACAGTAAAAATTCCAAAAAATTTTTGCAGCGTTTGTCTATTCACATAACAAATCGCACATTTATGTTATCAAATATTTCACGTGTGAATAGAGAAATCCGAACACATTTGGGAATGTTTTGATTTTATCCGAGCACATTGAGAATGTAATTTTCATCTGAATACATTTCATTTCAAAACATTTAATGATACATACACATGCACACACACGCACACACACACACACACACACACACACACACACACACACACATACACACACACAATCCTTAATGAATGCTGACGCTCCTTATGCGCGTTACGTCAGTGGCGGCGATGATGAAATACCACCGATAAAAATGGATAAATTCACAGTTAAAATGATATCAAAAGTCAAAACTGGCAACAATGCCCCTCTACGAAAGGCAGTGATGCACAAGAGTAATCCAATGGCAACAAAGCCAACAACCAGTCGCTGGTAAAGTCATCGACGAGGCTTTCGACCGTCATACTGACGAGGTCCAGTCGTGGTGTTGAGCAAAGACGTATATGACTTAATGGACCGAAACTTCTTAACGCAATTGTTTTCCCTTTTATTTTTCTCCTACTATTTTTTCCTCTTTATATACACTTCCCTTACTTTGGCACCCATCGGAATGGATGCTAAAAACGGATTGCTAACAAGCTGATGACAAAACACAATAGGATGAAACAAAAAAGTACTTACGCGCTGCATGGCTGGAACTTCTGTCCCAGTTCTGCATTTTTGTAGTTCAGAAAGACGAGACTATAAGTGAACAGACTGCACAAATTAACAATATTCAAAAATATTTGTATAACTAATAACAAGAGCAATGGCGCACATGTCTCGAATTTTCAGTGTTATAAAGTTAGAATTGTTTGATCCTTTTTTTCCTTTTTTTTTTTTTATTTTTCAAAAACACTGTGGTTGTTTTTACACCGAAAAGGCCTAGAAAGCCCCAATGCTGAAAAAGCTAAGCAGCCATTTCAACGTGTAACTTTTTGTGAATTAAAAAAAGCACTTCCTTCTGCTTGTTCGCTATGTTACAGAAACGCTGCCTACAGAAAATTGATATAAAACCCGGCAAGTGAGACTGAGCAGAGAAAACGATGCATGTGTGTGTGGCAGGGTCACTTTTTTGCTCTTCCCGGCTTTTTGGCATATTTTTCGGCAAGAGAATCGCAGAATGCATCCAGCGATGCCAATTTTTGCTTCTGTCGATTCTGTATCAGCTCAACGAGCGCACCTTCGCCTTCCTTCGACTCAATTTCTCGCAACATTTCGGCTGCCTCCTGCAAAAAAGCAATGCCAGTCCAGTACAACTATCGCGTAATATATCAAATAGTGATTAATGGGTTTTGTTAAAAATAGATTAAAGACCAATTGCGTTACTATGACGCAGTATCCCTGTCCCTGGTTCAAACTTTAACCACCCTACCCTCATTGAACTTTCGAACTTTGTCCCCTGGGGTATAAAAGCACTCCTCCCCATCGCCGGGATCTCCATTACCGACCTCCACTGCGACTTACTGCTATATACTAATATTCCTATTTTGGGGAGCTTCGGCTCCCCAGAGCCTCACCCACGTTTGATGCCTTATCTTTTTATTTTACTATGTATAATAAACATGTATATAGGATGCGACGTGTTGCACACACCATACAAACGGGACACACACTAGTCTAATAAGCCAACTATTAGGGTCGCGATACAACCCGCCCAATCGTAAAGTGAGCACTGCAAGTACGCAACAACAAGCAACCTCGGCTTCGCGCTTCGCCGCTCTGATACGTCTGGTTTTCCGTTTTTCGGGTTCTGCAAGGAACTTGCGTGTTGCTTTGAGTTCGCTGGCTTCGATCATCTCGTTGATCATGCTGCGTAAACGCTCCTCATCCTCATAGGTAACACCCAGTACAGTGTCCAGAATCTTGCGCATATCTCCATTGTGATTTATATAAGCTTCTTTCACTGCGCTCCTTTCTTCTCCGGAATCTGAAAATATCGCGCTAACAGTTACAGGATTTTGACTTTTTGAAATGGCGAGCAACACTTCCATAGTTGAACTTCAGTGATTTTGTACGCTGCAAGATTTTAGAAGTGAAAAATAACAAAAACTTTTCTTTCTTTTTCAGTACCCGTACGATCTTACATAAGCTCTTACGGCA